GAGCTGAGGCAAAGCCTTCTCCAGGTTCATGTTTTCCCATTGTTTCCTGACAGTGATGGCCTGTTTCTGGGCCATCAAGTCTCTGAACCTGGTACTGCCTGTGGTAGCACCGATGCTCCCATGGCTGTGCCAGTTCCTCTTGCTCTGAAAAGTGTTCATAGTGGTTGCACAAAATTCAACAGATGTGCATTTGCTAGCAGAACACAGCAGATAACTTTTCAAAAATGCATCAAAATAACTGAATTTTTATCTTTTTGTGTGTCTGTTTTAAAGAACTATTTCCTAAATTAGTCTCCAAACTCATAATGGCCAGTTAGCCTTCTGGGTTTGAAATCATCTTGGTATTAGATGGGAGCTGTGTAGGAGGTATAAGTTGCTAACTACAGATTATGAATTCCACAATGCTCTGGAAGAGAAGCCCAGATTTGCTGACAAAAACTCCAACTGTGGATATTAGAAGGATCCGGTTACAAAGCAGGAAGATCCTTTGTCCAGGGTAAATCTTCATGTGAAGTGACCTGTCACTGATTTGTCTTTCTGATGCAAATCATATGAGCATATTAGATCCACGGAGAAACCAGCATCATATTGAAGTCATTATCTCCATAAACATATTATAGCCTTCAGTGTAGACAGATGGCATTTGCGGCAGCCTTCTCTATGTTACAGCAGTATCACCTCCCTTGCTTTCTTCTTGTTTGGTTTGGTACTTCTTTAAGTTACTTTTCTTTTTCTGTTTCTTCCCTCTCCCTGTGTGTTTTACATATGGTCTCAGGGAGCTGTACAAAAATATCTGTATTGAAGGATAGCTCAGACTCACAGAGTGTCAGATAAACTGCAATGTCTAATTTCAGATTAAATCACGTGTCCCTTTTTATCCAGGAAAAGCCAGCCCCGATAGCTTTAATGAGGCTGACGAAGGGACTGTTGGACACAAAGGACTTGCTTAGCGATTTCCATGTGAGAGCGTAATTAAGGGCAGTGCAAGTACGAGACTGATAAAGAAGCAATTTCATTTTTTAAATGGCAAGATGATTACCAGCATAATGACAGAAAGAAAGAAAGGGGAGAAGGTAGCCTCAAACACAAATTTGAACAGAAGAAGAGAAATCAAGATCCCTGGGTTCCTTTTGCTCCTTTTGCTGCTTTAGCATTAAGTCACTGACTGAAGGTGGCACATTGGCAATCCCTAACAATTAGTTATGTGCGCCCTGGTATCCGTATGGTTAAATGGAGATAGCTGGACATCCTGGGGTGGAGGCTGGCAGTCCATGTGTGCTCTTCAGACACCAGCTTAGTCCCCTCTGGCCAAATAATGAGAACATTGTGATGAAGGGATTTTGGTGTTGGCTTTTTTTCTGTAGGGAGGGGGATGAAAGGCATGGGGTAGATGGCATTACTGTGGCTTCAGTTGCAGGAGATGGAATATGTGGGAGTATCTGGGCTACCGGATGACCCTGGTCACGGAGACCTTCTGCTGATGCTGAAGGAGATCTGTGACCTCATCACCTGAATGCATGAGCAACTCGTCTTTTAAGCGTCTGCTCACATCTCTCCTATGAAGCAAAGAATTGGCTCAGCCTGCCTCTTGCAGATATGTCCTTGAGGCAGAGAGACCAGGACTTTGCAGGAGGGGATGGGTTTAGCAGAACTCACATGTACCAGGTGGCACCCAAGAAGTTTATTCTGAATTTCATGTGTCCCCCAAACACCCACGTGGAACTGAAATTACCTGTACGCTTCCTAAGGGAATGAAATAAAATGGAGCCAAGGCCATGTGCATTCTGCCTGGGTGGGAGATCAAGGGGTTCATGCAGTGTGACTTACCTGCTTTTAAATCAACTCATGGGTAACTGGGATGTATTTTCTTGGATGCACCCTGTGCAGACCATGCCATTGTCATCCTATCAGTTCAGGGCTGGATTAATGATCTTTGTGTATTTTTCACTCACTTTTAAATGATCTTCTTTTTTTTGCATTATAAATACATAGGGTTTTTATGATTTACTATGCCTTCACTTATTTAAGTGCACAAATCCCTAGTGCTGCTTTTTCTATGCAGTTTCTCTTCAGTTTGGCTGCTGTTTTCTCACCATTCTGGTTTGGAATAGGGTTTATTGGGAAGATACTAAAAGGTGACTGATGGTGTTGTGTGTCTTTGGATCCTCTGTTAAGATGCTTCAGAAGGTCTGATTTTCTAAAGTGGATGTTTGGAGATTTCTGAAGACCAAACATAATTCATACTGGATAGAAAAAAATGAGTTACAGGAGGTACCATGCTTCAAAAACGTGGCCTCTTAAAAATCTGAGGGGACCAATTCCATGTTACCTTATTCTTCTTGTGCTGCAAGTACAGGAAATTACAGACTCCATTTGCTAAACGGCAGGAGGCTAAATGATTTGTCTCACTCTCACAAATATTTTTCAAATCCACATCATGTAGCCTTCCCTATGCAATAATGTGTGGACAGAAAATAAATTAATATACAATGTAAAGGAAGGATGACCAATCTCATTCTCTTGGGTAAACCTAAGTCATGATATAGTGCCAAAGATAAAAGAGCCTGGAGTCTGTGGTGTTTACATTTAGTGTTAGCACAATATATTTAAAAAAATGGATGTTTTCTTCTCTTTGTGTCCATTCTGGGGGTCTCCTTCTAGCAGGAGTCTGTGCAGGGACCACAGCTTGCTGTGTGGCATCATGGTTTTCTCAGGTGGCTTTTACTATTGTCCCAACGGGTGGAAAAGGTTGTATCACAAGAGGTTTAGCTAGAATGTATTTTCTCAGCACTTTGCATAGTATAGTGACAGACTGTGCATATTTTAAAACACAGCATAGACTGAGAGGTGATTCAGGCAGCCAGGCTGGACTGTGACATGTCTTATTCAGGCTGAGTGCCTCAGTTTGTGTTTGAGGATGGGGAAAATCAGGACATTTGGGTGACCCGATGACTTGATCTCAGACTTTGGGCTATCTGTCTGTACAGAGAAGACGATGTAGGACATAAAACCATATTCCAGAAGTGGAAGCAGCCATCTGGGCAAAAACTTTTGCAGATATTTTTAATTTAGCCTAATTACCCAGAGCTAGCAAATGGTAAATGAGACCGGTGGTGTCAATAACATGCTGAATTAATCCAGGAAAGTTGTGACTACTTTTGAGGTGGGAATCTTCTTTTTTTTTTTTTTTTATCATGACACCTGTTGCTCATAGGTACAAATCAAACGAAGAGTATGTGTATGTGCGAGGCCGTGGAAGAGGGAAGTATGTATGTGAGGAGTGTGGAATTCGCTGCAAGAAACCCAGCATGCTGAAGAAACACATTCGCACGCACACAGACGTCAGGCCATACGTCTGCAAGTACTGTAACTTTGCTTTTAAAACCAAAGGTAAGAGACAGTCAGCTCCTAGATCCTCTGCTTAGTATATTGACTTACAAGCCTTCTTGGGGGCGCTGGCGAAGGGCAAGGGAAGGCCTTCCCAGGGTCTGGAAAACCCCAGGAGTCGGAGGGAGGGGGATGAAGGAGTCTTTAATTGGCTGAAATGTTCAGAAGAGGACCAGCCCTGTGTTAAGCTGCTGCGTGTCGTGGTGGAGAGCACTGGCTGCCCATGCCAGCCTGCAGCAAAGCATCCACGCCATCCTGTTTGTGCTTCTTAATGGGAATGATCCTGAAATACAGCTTCAATGTATAAGCAAAACCACCCCAGAATGCGAGCAGGAAGTCCTGGGTACAAGCAAGCATCCCTGACCAAGCACCTGGAGACAATCTTTGGGTGGCTTTTTATGCTAGTGCTCTCAAGATCTGTTTGCGCTGCATATTTTCATCCTTCGCAGTTGCATGCAGCTTTGACATTTTACTATATCATATCAATAGTCTTTTTCTCTCAAGACCTCCATTCCAGGACATCTACTCATTAATGATCCACAACCTCACTACCACCAGATATTCTTTGCAAGCAGCCTTCATCATTGGCTCAGTGAGTGTGCGAGTGAACTCTATCAGGAACATGCAAAACCACATGCAAAATAAAGTCTCTTTCAAGAGACTGTGGGTAAAGTTTTCAGAAGTGCCAGAGGTGCCCAGGTCCTTTTAACTCCTCGTAAGAGTTTGGCACCGTGGCCTTGGCGAATCTCCACTCCATCTTTGGTTGCAGCAAGTCTTGCAATAAAGATGTCGAGTTCAGTTTCTTGATTATAGTTTGACATAAATATAAAGTGTCTGTTGTCTGTAGGTCCATCATTGCAAAACTCAGAAGATGACACAGCTGGGAGAGTTAATTGCTCAAGAAGAGCATCAGCCCCCAAAAAACAGTGCTACCCAAGGAAGTGGCACAGCGTGGGTGTGGGGAGGAGGCACTGGGCGCTGCGTGGACCCTGGCATGTGTGCTTACCCAGAAGTGCTGATGGAGGGAGGGCTTGTCTGTGCTAGACAAGTGACCTGGACGCCGGGTGGTTCAGGGTGGGCAGTGCCTGGAGCTGATGGCTTTGTGAGTAAAGTTAGCTGGCGATTTCTGGGTAACAATGTGTTGGTAATCTCTAGGTGTATGGGAGCATGGGGAAGCGATACTGAATTTGAGGCCAAATTCTTGTCAGACACATGCAGCAGATCTGACTGATGGCTCTTTCTCTCCCTCCCAGCCTGAAGCTAATTCTGTCTTTCCCTCTTGCTTTTGTTACTTTCTTCTGAGGTTTTCCTTTGAGAGGTGAATCCGTTCAGCCTCTTCCATCACTTCACCTTGCTTTCTACCATGCTTCTGTTAGGCTTTTATTCAGGATGCTGCAATCAAACCATCTTTTTCACCATCTCTTTAGCTGTTTTGCTCTTCATCTCTGCTCCCTTGAAGCACACAAACTGTCAGCACTGACTGTGCCTATTGCACATTGCAAATAGACGCTTGCCTCCAAGGGACCTTACTTCTTTAGCTTTGCAGGAAACTTGCATGAGGAAGGTAGCATGGAAATGCTTCCTTCAAAAAAAATCAAAAACCAAAAACCCAAACAACAACCCAGTGTTGCAATTTGAATGCAAAACTATTTATTTGCCTATGGATGCATGAGGGGGGCAGAACTTCCCCGGATCAGCAATTTCAGGACAAATAGTTGCATGATGGTAACTTGGAATTGCATGAAAATGGCTCTTTGCTGGAAGGGGTGACAGTCAGAGTCAGACCGTGTCCTGTGGGCATGCTTATACTCCACAGAACTTTGCAGCACTTGGGTAAAAGCTGTTTGCTTTGCGAATGGAGGCACAAGGACCTTTGGAAGAGTTACTGGAGAGTGAGAAAAAGATTAGTATTGGGTGCTGATAAAATCGTCAGATAAAGTCCAGTTACAGAATCATTGCTGTTGGTGATGGAGTGTGAACCAGAGGTCCAGGAGGTTTGCAGAACTGGAGGTTTCACAGCTTGTTTTGCAGACGTCTAGAATAAGCTTGTTTGTGCCCTGATTCATTAGGATCCTCCTTCCTCGTGTGCGATTTTGCAACCACAGTTAATTGCAGAATGGAGAAGCTGGAGCTCTCGCTACCGGACTGCACTTGCAAAAATATAAGCTGAGTTGAAGCTCTTTTAGAAATCAGCTTTCCAAAGTTAATTTTAGCCTTCAGCATAAACTCAAGGGGGATATCTGTGGAGCTGTCTTCATTTTGGCTGTGGTAGATCTCTCCAGCATGATCTAATGCTCTAAACTCTCAAGTAGGCTGGAAGCGGTTAAAATTTTTTTTATTATTATTTTTAATGAGGCTCTTTATCTGGTTAAAATGTACCTCCCCCTCCCCCTGAAAATCCATATCCATGTTCCAAGAACTGGGAAAACTTTTGCAAAAGAGCGAGCTTTACATATTTTCCCCTTTTCACTAATTATGCTGTTTGTCTGCATTTTATGCATTTCTGTCACTGTAAGCGAAGCTGTTCCTTTGGGTTACAGAACTTCAGGGAAAGGGGTTTTTTTATTATTATTATTTTAAAGCAAATCCATGAGATTTTTTGTGTGCTCACTTAGTTGATGGAAACAGCAGCCTTGGAAATTTGGTTTGTAAAGATTTATTTGATTTTACGTTTCTGGACCAGATATAAACCTGCCTCTTTAATGAGGTGTCTCTACCTCCACTGCAGTAGCGCTCTCCTAAGAGGTTTGTTACCGTGGCCTCCAAGAGGTTGTTTAAAAGAAGTTAAGCAGCTTCTTCATTGTTTTCTTACCAGGAAGGAAATGAAGAAAAAGTTGCAGTCTAACAATTTTCCCTTTCAGGAAGGTCAGGGGGAGCTTTTTCCTTGACCACCTTCCCAGAGGGGACACAGGAACCGCCAGCCCCCCCCTTGTCACTCATCTCCAGACCCTCGGGGGAAGAGCAGCCCCTTTCTCCACTCCTTCTCTTGGGGGCCTTGGGGATGTGGGTCAGAGTTGGCACATTAATTCCCCTCCTGTGCAGACATTATCCTTTTCCACTGCTATTTTCTGCTCTCATTCAGACTCACATCAGACTCTCACGTCCTGATTGCTTAAAATTTCTTAAGATTTCTGTATGGAGTAGCTCACTGTGTCCATGCTGCTGCCTTTGCTTAGAGGTCAGAAGGGACAAGGAGCTTCATATTAATTTAAAAAGTGCTTGTGTAAAGGACATCAGTGCCTGTTGGCTGAAGATATCCATTTGATAGTCTAGTCCACTCACAGTTTCCAGACACCAGACTTCTTCATGTCCTCGGCCATAGTCTTCCTTTAATAAATTAGTTTGCAGTTCCTTAAATCAGCACATGACAGGCACTGAAGTTATTGAACATGTTAATATATTAAATGCATTACCCCATCAGCCCTTAAAGGCAAGGTTATGGCTGCACAGTTTATTATTATTATTACTGCTCTAGCAGACTCAGCGCTCTGCTAAGCCTCCTCTGGAAACTACAGAGCAGGTCCAACTGGCGGAAAGCTCCGAAAGAATTAACCGCTGTTATAGCAGGGCAGATTGATATATAGATTTGCAAAATGTCCCTGCACTCTGTGTGTGCTGGGGTGCTTCCTTAGCAGCTGGGAAGAGGGAAAGGGCCGGAGCATCCCTGTGGAGCCACTGCTGGGAGGAGGCTTTGGTCCCCCAGCTCCTCGGGATGTCACAAACCTCCGATGGGATGAGGACAGAGTTATCCTCTGGAATTTGCTGCCTGCTTCCTTATGGAATGTGGCATGAGGCGTGTCGCTGGGAACAGAAAACGACCCAGTGGTCCAGACAGGAGACGAAACACTGTGAGCAAAAGGGCTCTTTAATTTACCACGGAACAGTAAAAAAAAAAAAAAGGGAATGAGGGCTGGAAGTCAAAGACTGGCAAATTCAAGTGAAATATTAGCTGTTATTTTTTTAAACAGTGCAGCTATTAAGTCTCAGCACAAGCCTCAATGGGAAATATGCTAATTCTCTATATTTTGAAATCTGCAAATCCAGCCTGAGTACCTTTCTGGAAGATTAGGTTTTGGCTAACACAAGCTGATAGGCTTGATCTAGAAGATGGCTAATATTTTATAGCCTGTATCACTATAGGCAGGCAGGCTCAATGTTCAAATTCTCTCCTTTAAAGTCAATAAATATAGAAGATAGTAACAAAATTTTAAAAAATTTAAATCTTTTGCCCAATAAATTATATAAATTAAAGCTTTCCTTCTCATAGAGTCTCACTTGGGAGCATTATATCCATGCAGAGACCTAAATCAAGGCCTTTGCATTATTTAATTAAGTCACACATAAAACCTATTTCAAGGGCTTTTCTGGGACGAAGAGTATTGGCCTGTTGCTGGTTCTCTGTATGTGAGTGTGTCTCACAGCAAAATGAGTCTGCTAGTTATAGAGTAGCTGTTGCTCTCCTTGCATATTATTTTAAAAGTAAGTGGAATATGAAAATACTTAAGTCCTGGAAAGCTGTGAATGTTTGTATGACAATGTCATCCTGGACACTAAGATCATGCAGTTGGTCATTTGTTAGGGTATTTTTTTGTTGTTAAATTGTTCACATTTAATAGCAGAAATAGAACGCGTGGTGTATGCCCAATACCGTCAGGATAATTTTTCCAGGAATCTTAATGTTTCTGTTCCCTACTTTTTGTTTTAATTCCACCACTTCTAATATATGATAATGGGGATTCTGAAAAATTAATTTCCCTCTTTTAATTTAAATGGGAAATCGCTTCTGGTCCCTATTAAGCTGCTTTAAGTGCTTTTGGGACACTAGAGTTTTAGCTTTCTCAAAACAACACAAGTATTTAAGCTGCTTTAAATCCAGAATAAGACCTCACAACATCAGAAGAGCTTAAGCAGCCAGTAATACATAGTTATAAGTGGGCATAATGAGAGCTGTGCTGATACTGTATGTACTCCTCCAGTGCAGCAATAGTTGGGGTGGGGTCACAATTTCCACCGATTCCTGAATTTTAGATACAGCCAGTTTATTTCAAATCTGGGAACTTTTTGGTAAACAATCCTTAGTGAGGACCACTTACCTGCTTAGGATTCAATATAACTTTTCTGCTATTTAAATCCAGCTTCTCCGCCTGCTAGTTTCTCTCTTGCTCCTTCCAATACGTTTTTTTCCACTGTTTCCAAGGAAGCAATGCTATGTGGGTTGGTTTTTTGGGGATTTTTTTGTGGGTTTTTTTTTTTTTTAAGTTGGGAGCCAGAACTCTGTAAGGCAATGAGTAGTTGTGAGTACTTCCTCGTAGGATTCATATCCAGCTTTTACTTAGGCATGGTGTTGATTTTATTGGAAATTTGCCAAAGGACTTTAGCATTTAATCCTGCCAGCATTAATTAAGGGGTCTAAAAACACAAACTGTAAGAAGAACCCTGATAAGATAAGTATCATTGTCCTCCCAATTGCTCCCAAGATGATAACTCAGCTTCTCAGCTGGTGTAAATAAGCCTCAAGCCTTTAACTTCCTTGAAATGATGCAAACTTAGGTCAGATGAGAATCCAGCCTGCTGAGTCTCTCTTCCCTGAAAGGACAGCAGCATCCCTATTTTGTTGGAATTTTTTCTTGGCGTGCACACAGGGTGCTGTGCATGGATAGACCGTGCACCAGGGGATTTGCACCGAGAGCTTTGCAGAGCTTGTTCATCAGCGTGTGTGCATATTGCCTTATCTAACCAAATGAAGATGAAGGAAGTTGGACAGCAGAGTAGCAAAAAGCAGAAAGGGAAAGAAAGCAACACTTGCTATGAATTCGTCCTTTGGTATTTTGCATTAACTCATTTGCACAGGGGTTTTTGGCATTGCCTGTGCAGTCCCTTCCAGCCTGTGCAGGCAGCCTGGGTGAGGAAGGAAGAGGAGAAGCCATGGCGTTGCTTTGCACAAGGACAGTTGCCTCCAGTGAAGGGAAATAAAAAAGGAAGTGGCACTGATGGCTTCTGGCAGAGCTTGTCAACCCGAACCGTTGCTCAGGGTGGAGCTGAGGCAAAGCAGAGGTGCAGTGGAGTGATGGGCAGAGAGCTGCAGGCTGCAGGAGAAGCCGGCTGGGCTCCCTGTGTCTGCCCAGTTCCTGCAGCAGCGAAAGGGACGGTGTGCGTTTGCTGCAAACGGCACTGGAGCTGAGGCAATGGGGAGGACTTGTGTGTATAACCAGCCTTTGGACATCTGAAATGGCCAAGGTGGCTGCTGTATGCCTCTGAGGACCTTAGTCCTTCCCTCTGGTATGGGGTGGCTGCAATCTTGCCCAAAACATTGCATTCAGCAGCACCTCCCCGCTGAGTAATTAATGTTATGCCCTCCCAGTTCATCCAAACCCAGCTGCATGTAGCACAGTGAATTTATGAGCTTGTTTAGGGGATGTGGTAGCACCAAAATGCCTGGTGGACCTTTCCTCCCCACTTCCCACCACAGGGATCACAGCTGAATTCCCAAGGTGGCATAGACCATAGTTTCACCAACAACCCCTTGCTCACACCAGGCATTTACTTGGGCTTATTTTCTATGTTTATCATCATTGGAGGGAATCCACTTAGGGATTTTGCTGTGGTAACTGAGCAAAGATGGGTCATTTTTGCCAGCCAAGATCTGATGTGCCGTGATGGACAGGCAGCAGCAGCAGGGTTTGATTTCAACAGACTGAGTCAGTTTGTCTTTTTGCTACTTAGGTCCAAAATTAAATTCCAGTTCCATGAGGCTACAATTTGGACTTGTTGGATACTTTTTGGTGAAACAGTTTTTCACTTTAAAACAATGGTGATTCATTGGAACCATAGGTGTCCATGAGAGCATGTTCTTGTCTGACAGGGTGTCTTTGGGTCCACAACAAAACTCCTGGTCCAAATTGGAGGAAGAGAGGTCTGATTCGGAGCAAGAACCTGAGCCAAGCTGGCCTCATCCTCATAACTGAGTGTCCTAACCATGGGGCTAAGGGTGTTTAGGCATGAAGTTTAAAAATAATAAATCTCTCTTATTGGAGAGCTGTTTTGCTGCATTTAAATTATTAAGTATCCTTTGAATCCACATCCTACATGGGTGCCAGATACACAAGGATATATAGTCAGCCTTTGTCTCTCTTGGTCTTTCCTGTTGGAGCTATTCCATTTTGTATAAAATGGGCTAAATAAATAATTCATGGGCTGAAGAGAAACTAACTTGGTAGTTCGATGGTTATGGCACTCTTCTGAGATGTGAGGGCGTCACGAGTAATTCTCTGCTCCAATGAATAGTTGTTTATTTATTTATACTATCCGGAGCAGTGGGAGGAGAGGTTGATAGAGGCACTCTATACTCCCACCCAGCTCAGGGACCAGGGGACTCTGTGGATTGCAGGATACCAGCTGAGGGACCTCAGTCCTCAGCTGAAGGTTATAATAAAGTGTGAGAATTCATTTTTTTCCTCAATTTTTTTCTTCTTTTTTTTTTTTTTTTTTTTGGTGAGAAAAACAAGCCTCGTGTTCAGCACTGCTCTCAAGTGTTAACAAACAGGAAGGCTGATGGCACATCGTATTGCCACAGTGAATTTGGAGTGCTCAGCCAGCTCCTGGGCTGTGCTGGAAATTGAACAGCTCTTGGTGGAGCTTCAGCAAGGGCCCAGGTTTCTTGTCATCATCAGCTCAGCCCATAAAGAGGTGTGGGAGAGGAAAGGGAAAAATGGGACATTTTTTCTTTATTTCTCTTATTCTTTATTTTTCTCTCCGTTCCACCTCCCTTTTCCTCCTCAACAAAGGATGCCCTTTGTTCAGTGTTTCCCTTGGATATAAGTAGGGTTAATAACTGTCTAATTAACCTGCCTGTAGTTTGAGACTTAGAGAGGTGCCCTGTGAGGCCAGCATGCCCATGAGTTATCCCATCACACTGTCTCAGAGCAGTAACCAATGCCCCCACATCCCGGACTCCCCCTTGCAGGGGCTGCTCTTTCCATCTCAGCCCCGAGGAAGTCTCATTAGTGCTCAGCAGTTTTTCTCAGTGCTGCCCAACCCTGGTGCGCAGATATCCATGATTCCTCCTGCTCCAGGGAGCTGAGAAATTTTGCCTGGCACTTCAGTGCATGCCAGAGCATCTGAACCATCCTGCTGGGTGGAGAAGGTGATTGTAGAGTTTTTCACCAGTGCTGGCATCTTGAACACTCATTTTTGGTGGTACCAGTCTGCCCCGTGGTGCTAAGGAGCTCCTTACCTCCAGGCAGGTGACCCTGTGTGCTGGGATGAGGTGGGAGGTGATGCTAGATGGAGGTGTGTTGCCTTCCCCACTTTCCTACCATTTTTCTGTGCTGCACCGTGACTGCTGAAAGCAGTCCAGGACTTTTCTTCCCCCAAACCCAAGTGTTTTTTCAGGTTGCACAACACCTGAAAGGTCGCACAACCAGCACCTCCTCTTCCACCTTAGTGCAGCAGCAAAGGAACGAAAGGGAGGACTTAGCGTTGTGTTATGGGGTATTTGCAATGGATAGCGGTTTGGGGAGAGTCAGAGGCCTCCTTGTCTGATACAGAGCCGAATTATTAACTTGTTACTGCTGAGCTTGCAAAAAGAAAAAAAAAAAAAAGCGAAAGCCATATTGACCAAAATATGTTCTTTGCTTCTTTTCAGGGAATCTGACTAAACATATGAAGTCAAAGGCCCACAGCAAAAAATGTCAGGAGATGGGCGTGTTGGTATCTTCACTGGTGGATCTGGAAGCCGAAGAAGGTAAAATCTTTCACATTATAAACCTGCTATTGCTGCTAAGAGAGGGCAATATCCATTCAGGCAGGAGACGTGCTCCGCAGATGATCCTTTCAAAGATGTGCAGCAATTTCGTTCACCGCAGGTTCCTTCCAGCACCCAAGGGGGGGATTTCTGCTGTCATGGCGTGGGTTTTGGGGCCATCCTGGGGATCATCCTGCTTCCGTGGGACAGTCTGTGAGCCCGAGTCTCCCTGCTGGGGGTTGTGCATGTTAGCCTGAAGTATTTTGGCTGCCTGCAGACAGAGGCAAGAGTAAACAGACGCGTGAGGAGCATCCTGCGTTTGGCCCAGCGCTCTGCATGGGGGTATATACATAATAATAAATAGCAGATCTGTAGCGTGAGAAGGTGCTTCTTGGTATTTCGGGGTATCTCTAGTAGGGAGTTCAGAAGACTGACTGCCTTGCTCTGGAAGAGCCTGAGTCTCTCCTGGCTGTAGAGGGAATCTCTGAAGCAGCAAAGAGATTCTCCCCAGGATGCACAGCATGAAGCTGTGAGCCCCCACTTTGCTGCTGCAAGTGTGGGTGGGTGAAGGAGAAAAAAATCAGTCCTGGCCCCCCTGGATACTAGAGCTGAAGTGCTGACGTGACCCTTTGGTGCATGGCCTGTGCAGGCTGTGGTGATGTTCTTGCAGAGGGGGTGCACTCCAGCAATACAGGAGTATTGATGATTCGGGGGATAGCTTCCCCTAAAGGTATCTGTGTCCAGCTCTGGGGTCCCCAGGACAAGACAGTCATGGAGCTGTTGGAGCGAGTCCAGAGGAGGCCACAGAGATGATCTGAGGGCTGGAGCACCTCTGCTATGGAGACAGGCTGAGAGAGTTGGGGTTGTTCAGCCTGGAGAAGAGAAGGCTGCGGGGAGCTCTAATTGTGGCCTTCAAGTCCCTGACGGGGCTCCAGGAAAGCTGGAGAGGGGCTGGTGACAAGGGCAGGGAGTGACAGGACAAGGGGGACGGCCTGACGCTGCAGGAGGGGAGATGGAGATGAGATGTGAGGCAGAAATTCTTCCCTGTGAGGGTGCTGAGGCCCTGGCACAGGGTGCCCAGAGAAGCTGTGGCTGCCCCTGGCTCCCTGGCAGTGTTCAAGGCCAGGCTGGATGGGGCTTTGGGCAACCTGGGCTAGGGGAGGGTGTCCCTGCCCATGGCAGGGGGTGGGACTGGATGGGCTGTGAGGTTCCTTCCAACCCAAACTAGTCTGGGATTCTGTGATTCCTCCTGAAAGGGCCTCCAGAGAAAGACTTTTCCCTAAGGATCATCTCCTAGGGACCTGCCTGTCTTACGGTATTTGGCTGATCCCAGGAGACTCCAAATTACCAGTGCAAACCTGGGCTGTGTCTGGAGGGACTGGTTCATGCATGAGCTGCTCCTATCTCTGCAGGTAGACCCAGCCTGGACCCTGCAGCACTGCTGGAGATCTTAGCATGCCAGGACGGGGTGTGAGCAGCATGGGGGGCAGCTGCCTCACTCATCCCTCACTGTCATGGGTCTTTTCCATGTGTAGGATCAAGGCGAATCACCCAGGTCAGAAATGATCTGAAAGTTTTCTCAGTAGGGGAAGAGCCAGCAAAACTAAAATAACATGGTGCTTTGACATTTAATGGCATTATTCTGAGTGCTTTACAAGAAGATACTTTTACCCTGACCTGCTTATTTCTTTAATCTACTTATGCACAAACACACACACACGAAGTCTGTCCAAGGCTCTGTAAATTCAGGACTCAGTCTGTTCTTTGAGGGACGCATGGCTCTCTTATTTAGTAATTTCCGCCCTGGTTTATAGTATCTGCAGCTGAATTTCCCTGAAGTCATCCCGAGAAGCAGATCTCCTCCTGGGAGGCTGGGCAGCATCAGGCAGGCGTGTGGTGACCATAAGCACGTCTGTCTCCATGAGAAATGTTGAGGGGAAGGTGAGGAAGATCTCCAAGCTGGGAGATGAAGGAACATGGGAACTCTCCTGTATGCTTAGCTGTTTGAGGTAGAAAAAGATATTTTACCCAAATTATTGGAGACTGCACTCCGGCAGCTGTGAAGGGTTAGGTTATGTGTCTCCAGGGAACAGTTAGATGTTTTTACGATTGTTATTCTGTTTCCTTTAGCAAGACCCTGAGTATTCAGGGCTGGAGCTACAGTGCAGGAATGATGGGGAAGAAGCCTTAGGGGTAGCAGAACTTAGGTCCTCATGAAATTTTGGGTCATCTGCATTTGCGTTCAGTAGGTCATTTGCATTTATAGGAAACACTGCACATACCAGCTATAGAGGGAAGAGAGGCTCTGGGAGCACAGGTCTGTTTCTGTCACAGCATGATTATTCCTGGATAAAACACTTAGTGCCACAGAGCAGGGTGGTGGTTTCTGTTTGCATTGCATTGCAGGCTGGTCATGACGCCATTGACCCTTCCTGGCTGCCACCCCAGAAACCCAGTATGAAAGCAGCTCTTATGGCTGTCTTTAGCATTTTTTTCCCATTTCCTGTTCCACCACACACACCCCCCCCCCATCGGACCCTGAACAATTTCAATTTCCCCGTCCCTGCGATTCATTCTGCCACAGCCTGCAAGGGTTTGTTGACAATGGGTTAAAATCAACTTCATAAAACACATGGCGCCACGGTTATTTTTATAAAGTGAACATCAGCTGAGCAAGTTCTGGAGTCGGCGTTGTGAGCCAGGGAATGTTAACTCGGCAGGAACAACAAACGGCGCTTATCACCCCGGTCCCCTGCTGAGGTCAAGTCCATCAGAGGCTTTATTGGGAAAGGGGCTGGTTCCTGGGACGTGGACAGTGTCACACACTTCCTGCTTTATAGGTAATTAAAAATCAGTAAGTGTGTTTCCCTATGAGCCCATGGTGGGAATGGGGTTTGCTCTGCTGCAGGCAGCAGCCCTCCGAGCCACAGAGGGAGCTCCCAGTGCAGGTGGTTCAGGGGGCTGGGGGGTTTGCACCCGCCGGGCAGCCCTGGCCGCTTGGACCCTCCAAGGTGCTTCATGTCTTTTGGATATCAAAGCTCAGAAATGCTGTCCCCTGCAGTGTGCTTTATCCTTGGGGTATGTCCACTCTGCTTAATTAAACAGTTCTGAGGACATTTGCAGGCATTGGCACGCCATGGTCGCAACTTAAACTGCAGGAGCGTTCAACAAGACATTTGTGGTTAGGCCATCTACCACACTTCCAAAAAAATACTGAGCACGGTTTGGGAATTAGCATGGCCTTGGGACCATTCCTGCAGATGTGGCTACCCTGTTTTGGAGGCACAGAGATGCAGATGCAGGGCAATCTGATGGGGTGTGGGGCTCATGTCACTGTCCTGGGACAAATGTGCCTTGGAGGGCTGATGTGACTGTTCTTGACCTGAACAAACCACGGCTCAACTTGCCAGCAGAGAACTTTCAGGAGATATCTGAGAAGTCCCACTGGTTAACCAGTCCCAAAGCCCAGTGATCCTCCAGTGCAGTGGTACCATGACCTCTCAGGCTTGGGTTCTGGTTCAGGTCAGGTGCATCCAGCTCAGTGGTCAGGGGACAAGGACATGGGAGAAAGAGTGAGCCCTATGGCATTACTAGACATCCATGCCCCCTTTCAGAGTTCCTTTCCTGACACGTACAGGGATGGACAAAGGGCTCTCCCAGGCCATGCAGAACAAACATCTAACCAAGACTGAGGACATCAGATCTGGCTCAGGGATGGCTTTCTTCCTTTTCAATGTGCTTGAACTCCTGGGTTTTCTCCAGATCTTCAGAGCAACCTTTTGATCAGGCAGAGACATGCTGTATTTGCCGTGGCCTTTCCAAAAGGGGGCATGGCCAAAAGATAACCTAGTTGGGGATTTTGCAGTAGGTGTCCCAAGGGAAAAGTGTTGGCGTGGTGTGAGCAGCGGGAGACTGCTCCCATATGGGATTGCTGGAGAGGTCCTTCAGTCTGGGAACCCACTTAAAATAATTGATTAGCTGATGGTCTCCAAAAAATCTCTGCCTGCTGTTATACCACCCATTGGTGATGCTTCTGCAGATCAAAGCTAGATAGGTAAAGAGGAGAGTGGCTCCTGAAATGTTGGTTGCATGAATCTGAAAAGAATAACTGTTAATTTAAACCTTTCTACTATAGTAAATTAGAACTTAAGAATCATATTAATTGACTGTCACTTTTGAAAACCTGCAAATCAGAAGTCCTATTTATGTTACATGTAGTTGCAGGCTTCTGAGGACAGAATAGCAAGGGCTCACTTCACCAGTCCAGTGGAATGCTTTCATTCATGATTTCCTTCAGTCGTTCATCCCCAGGCTCATACAGGGTTAATAGTAGTGCACTCAGCAGCGCAGTGAAAGCCCGTCCAGGCTGTGGGATGATGGCAGCACTCTGCTTGCAAAAATGGAGGACTGGCAGGTGATGAGGCTGAGCTGGTCTCAGCCTTTGGCCTCATGGGAAGAGTAGGTCTAAATCCAAGAAAGCCCAAGAAAGGTCTGCCTTGCATCCCCAGGTCAGCTGGGAGAGCACTCAGCGGAAACAATGGGTCCATCAGTTGGGGACTTTTTTTTTTTGGCCATCATTAAATCATTGGTCCCTGACTGCTTGTGGCTGAAGACATGGTGGTTGGACACCTGCTAAGCCCAGCAAGGAAGGGCTCTACCTGTGCTGCAGAGGAGACGAACCCATTAGTTTTCGGAAGGGACTCCTCTCCTGTTGTTGCTGTTGGCTGTCTGGCTGCTCGCTGGAATGTGTTGCGCTGTCTGGACAGTATTCCATTATGCAAGCAATCCGTGTAATTTTAGAATTACAAAAAATATACAGTCCCCATTTCCTCCCATTGATGAAGACCATTTGTGTTCATGTAAAAGGGACAGTCTGCCAGGAAAGAATGCAGAAAGGTGAAAACGGGAAGGTGTGGTATCAGAGGACGTTCCCTTTCTTTCCTTCCAGCTTCTTTTTCACCTGGTTTTACAATGAACTGAAATTTCAAATATTCTATCTCATAAGTAAGGAGGCCAATTGCTCACAAATGTCAAGTAAATACTAAATAAAGCAGCCAAGAAGATGGTCAGAAAATTGTGTTTTGTACTGTAATGGTTGAGGCTATTTGGATGGATGAGAAAATAATGTAAAAATGGCAGAAAGGTGCATGAGACATCAGAGATCACAGCTGTATCACACATACCCTGCTCTTAGAGTAGTGGATTGCAAAGAGCCTTCCCCTGTGTAACCACTGTGTAACTTGTCTGCAAAGAGGCTCAGAACAGAGCCCAGCAACGACTATTTTAATTTAATGGTTGAGGCTATTTGGATGGATGAGAAAATAATGTAAAAATGGCAGAAAGGTGCATGAGACATCAGAGATCACAGCTGTATCACACATACCCTGCTCTTAGAGTAGTGGATTGCAAAGAGCCTTCCCCTGTGTAACCACTGTGTAACTTGTCTGCAAAGAGGCTCAGAACAGAGCCCAGCAACGACTATTTTAATTAAAAAAAAAAAAAAAAGAACATTGGTATTTCCATGTGACACAAAGCAGCGCAGGAAGATTGCTGTGCTTTCCTTTGGGGGCAGGCAGGGAGGGAGCAGCAGTTCCTAAAACTCCCTGGATTATTTTAAACTACAGTTATATTTCACTTGATTGTTTTTATTTCTATTTAAGGGGCAGGAGAAAGGAAGGGGTGTTACTATAAAAGGAGATTGGAGTATAATTCTTCACTCCTGCATTGGTTTTGCTTGGTGTGAATGCACCAGTTTGGTAGAATAACTTAGAACAACACGCGTGTAATGAAATGCAGCCCTCAGACAAAGCCATTGACAAGGCACATTTTCACTAGCTCCCTCTCTCCTTCCTTCCTCCATCTCTCCCTCCCTCTCTGTCTTCTCCTGACCTGCCCTTTCTCTGCCCATTAGCTCAGCAAAACGCATTTCAGTTGCAAGAAGCCGTGGCTCTGGTCTGAGCTCTCTTTCTGCCTGCAAGGAGCGTGTTACGAGGCCAAAGCAAACTTGCTTTGGGCTGTCCCCGGACTCAGTGAAACGTTTCCCTCGGTGGCAAATGCAAACAACTCCCCAGTGCGGAGCTGGCTTCACGTTTCCCTCACTCCATACTTCTGACCTCGCTGTCTGTCCTGGCAGGCGCCTGTCCGTTGTGTGACTGGGGCCAAAAAAAGAGACCACACAGGACAAGGCTCTCAGAGCCACGCAGCGGAGACTGAGGCTACAGCTGCCTGTCCATCCTGAAACCCATAGATGTCAAACCCCAAAACCAGAGACAGGGACTAGCTCATAGCTCTGGTAGTGAAATGCATTCCTTTTCCATGTAAGAAATATGCACAGTTCATCCTACAGCTGGGAGAACTGATCATTTGGAATAATATTTGTTCTGAACTCAGTTCCTTTGGGAATTTGCAAACAACCCGCCACTGGATCCTGGGTCCAGCAAACACCATCATTATACAAGCGTTTCACAATGCAAATCAGCCTCTTGGCGGAGAGCTGCTGACTTCGCCTTGATGCTGAATGAGTTCTGCAGTAGGTCGTGCTTGATGGACTAGCTGAGATACTTTTGAAACAGGGTGGGGAGCAAATGAGTTGCATTTCAGGCTGATTATTGGATGGCTAGTCAGCCATGATAAAATACATGTCTTATTTCACTGGTAATGCCAAATACTTCATGAGCATTTACTAGTAAGACCCTTTTATTCAAAGTAAACATAATTAGACTTTTTATCCATAGATCACAGTGACTTCTGTGTGGCCATGTCCCCTTCTGAGAACCACCCTGCCTGCTGCAGGCAGGTGTGGTCCCGCCTCCGCGTTAACTCCATTTAATTTCCCCTCCGGCTTGTCCTGCTGACAGATGGCAGCTCTAAATGGAAAACCGTTTCAGTGTTCATCGGAGGAGAAATGGTGTCCTAGGCTGAACTGCCAGGGAAAAGAGGCCAGCAGTGCTACAATTAGTTCCCCGGCTTCATGCAGGTGTCAGAGCAGCATCCCGGCTCTCGCCTTCCAAAGCGGGGGACCAAGCACGTCCCAGCAGCTCTGCACCCATCGTCTTGGTGCTTGGCATAAACAGAGTTTGAGAAACTGGTATTTTATCAGCCCTTCGAGCAGTGGGGATTTGCAGGAAAGCCTCCTGACGGTGCAATTGTGTTGAGCTACAGTGACATCCAGTGGCTGTTCCCGATGGACCTCTTCAGGCTGAGCTTGCATTTCTGCCAGGGTCGCTGCACATCTGGCATGGGGAAATGCAGATTTTTTCAGTGCAGAGCAGAGCAGCAGGTCAGCCAGCAGCAAGCTGCTTAGGAGCTTGGTACTGGTCTCAGAAAGCTTCTGCTGGTCCTTAAAGTAGAAGAGACATGCCGTATTTTTACCTGCAGATACATTTCAAATCCTTTAGAATTTGCTTTTTTTTATACTCCTCACTGTTTACAAGCTCTTATTAACAAACCATCCTTGAGCAAGGCCATCCACAGACAGCAAAAACCTCTGCCACAAAGAAGCATCTGCATCATAGAATTTATAAAAATAAGGGAAAATCCACAGAGGTTCTTTCAACCCTATTGTTTGTTTTTTAATAAAAATCCTGTCTTGCTAATGTTTAACTATCATGTAATCTAGGCAGGAAAAGGCTCAACATGTGGAGGATGGGAGCAGTCATCCCAGCAATTTACTCGCACTTTGGCAGCTGTAGATATTTTTTAGACACCATTGCAACAAATAGTCATAAAAAGCCCACCAAAGGGTGATAGTGTGTCTGCTTTTCTGATCGGTTACGAGCATTTTTTACATTGCTAGAGAAAGGCAGGCAGGGTGTGTGACCGTGTACAGCAGAAGCAGCGATGGATGGCTGTGTGTGTTCTACAGAGCAACGGCTGGAACTGAGATTAGGGCAGAGCGGGAGGTCCCAACGGTGGGATTCACTAGGATCTACTGGGGTCATCCGGAATGGAGTTGGCACAGAGGGCAAGACTGCAGGCTTCACAGCATGAGATGATCAGATCTAGGAAATAGCCGGGTTCTCTCTCCTCTTGTCCCCTTAGAACTTTTGAGCAGATTTAGCACAAAAATAGTCCCTGTATGTGTGTTTTACACTCTCTGTTTTTTGTTTGCCCATCCCTTCAGGAACCAGTGAAGACCTATTCCAGGACTCTGAGGGGCGGGAGGGATCTGAGCCAATTGAGGAACACCAGTTTTCAGACCTAGAGGAATCTGACGATGATGATGACAATGAAGATGAGGATGATGAGGAGGAAGAGGAGAGTCAAGATGAGCCACCTTTAAAGTTGCCGGAAGGCCAACATACCACCCTCCCGATGCACTCTTCAGGTGGCTCTCCATCTTCTCAAGAGGAAGGCACTGAAATAGCATTGTCCTTAGCCCAAGAAACTGTTTCCAGCAGCCAAAAAGTAGGTGAAGGCCAGCAGGCCTCTTCCTCAGGGCTGGAAACAAAGTGGTCAGCAGACAGCAGTGACATTGCTGTGTGCCACAGCTTCTTGAGTCTCCACAGACCAGCTTTGACCTCCACCGAACAATTGGCTTCTGCTGAAAGAGAGTCTGTCACAAGGCCACAGATGTCCTTAGTTATGGACCTGTCAACCTCAAAAGACACCTCCCCAAGAAAAAGGTGGTCTCCGAGCCAGGACTCTGGCAGAGGTGGTGGCAGCAGCAGACCAATGCTAGCGAGAAAGCACCTGTTAACCAAAAATGAAACTTCACCGAAACGGTTTTCACCAACTGGAGAACTGTCTTCTCTAAGGTGCCTGTCTCCAGGGAGAGGGTTGTCTCCTTGTCAGCGCGTCTCTCCCCGGAGGGAGGCATCTCCACTGAGATGTGTGTCACCAAGACTTGAGCTGTCGCCCAGCAGGCATCTTTCCCCCAGAAGAGAGCTGTCCCCAAGAACATACCTTCCACCAGAAGGAGAAGTCTCCCCTGTGAGGCACTCGTCGCCGAGCAGAGAGATGTCATCAGTCAGATATTTATCGCTGAAGAAAGTCTGGTCTCCAGGCTGTTCAGAGTCGCCTAGGTATCCATCCCCCGGGAAAGAGGACTTGCCTGGTACTAGCAAATCAGCAGCAGATGACAAAGTTCAAAGCTCATATCAAGCCCAGCATGGGATATTATCTTCAATGCCTCTACCTCACAGGTTCTTTGGCAAAAACGTACAGCTCTATGAGTCCAAGCTGGTAAGTCCAAGCTCTTCTTGCTTTCTAGTCCCTGCAGTATGTTCTCTGATATGTTTTTTAATGAGAGTTGCAATGCAGAAGTGCGCAGTGACTCTGACTGTGACCGATGTCACAGGTAACCCAGAGAAAAGTGACAATGGACAGCAATGGGTTTTGCACCCATTTTGGTCCTGCCCATCTCAGTTGAAGAGAAATCAAGTTGTCCCTTCTCCAAGGGATTATTTGTACTCCTGACCCAACCAGTCTCCTGCTGAGACAAGCAGTAAGGATGATCACTTAATAATGACTATTTGTCATTAAGACACATTTTTTCCCTGGTAATTTCATGCCCATTTCTGAGATTTCACCAGCTGGGGTGAAGCTGTGACCATTTTTCACCGGTCAGTGACCTGAACCAGATCTGAACTAGCTATTGCACTCTATTGCTGACTCCTGCGCTACGTACATAAGCAGCCAACTCTGTTCGATTAACTGCTGAGAAATGTTTGTTTGGACATCTCTGATTTCATCTCGCTTCTCTCTTCAGCACAGAGAGGTGTTTCCCACTGGGTCCAGAAAATTATTTAGTCTCTCTGCTGGACATATCAAATCCTATGGGTAAAGGAAAATTACATGTTCCTCCCACTGCTACAGGCAAATTAGACATTGGTTTTGGTGGAATGTTTCCCATTTCTACTGAAGTGCCTGGCCCTCCTGTATTTTATGCTGATGAACATGAGATTCAGTTGCTGGAGTTGCTCTGCTGTGAGACTCGAGCCGTTAGGGACTGCGCTGGGAAGAGAGAGGCCTTTATACAACCCCTGGAGAACCTGTCACGGCAGATGCTGACCAAGGTCTTCTCCAGAAAAGCCACGCTGCCCAGTGTGCGTTTCTTCCATGTCTATGATAACGTACCATCTTTTGGTGCTGCCTTCCTTCTGCTTTCTACTACAAGTGTTTGTCTTAGCTTCTCAGAGACAATCCTTTTTTTTGGGGGGGGTCCAAACTTTTGCTTACTTTAATGCTATTTGCCTTTCCTGTCAATTAACTTCTTGTGGTGAATCTCAGGGCTGTGGAAACCCCGGCCCTTCGACTCTAAAGCATCTCTGTGAGGAAAACTGCCCACTGCCACTACTTGTAGCAAATCCCCTGAGCTCCTTAGTCCACAGTAGGAGACAATATTGTATACTCCTGCTTATCTGCCCATTCACACCTTTTAACTTACGGTCTCACATATATACCTTTTTGCTACATTTTCCTGCTCCTTTTATGCACCCAAGGTCACCACTGTTTCTTTTCTCATGTGCCTCCAAAACAACAATAATGACTCGAATGGGAAACTTTCTATTTGTTAGCAAGATGGACACCGGGGCTTTCATTGCAAAAATATGTTCCTGGTAAGGCTACAAGAGACAGAAAGATCAGACGTGGAATTACCAGATCCCAAATGGAGTTTTGTGCTCAAAACTGATGCCTATGCATTGCTTAGAAACTTGGAGACGATCTTAGCTTAGCTTCAGTGTCAGGCTTTCTGCCAAGTCAGGCCTGACCATGACCACCTCTCTTCCCAGTGGCTCTTGCAGTAGGTCGTCTCTCCTGATGGCTGTTGCACCATTGAGATGATTTGTTTGGGGGTTTCCCAGTATGCCTATAGTGATTCTGCCAAGATTTCATGTGGATAAGTGAAATTTAGCAAGTGTTCGGGCTTGTAACTGCTGACCGAGTATACGCTATCTTCAGTGGCTCTTGCTTTCTCTCTCTTCTGTTCCCTTTTGCTCCTTTCCTCTGTCGCATCTACATAGAGATCCAACTTGTAGCGTCCGGCAATTCTCCATAATCCTACAAAGAAATATGCCCTCCAGACAACCCTCAAATTTTATAGCTAACCCCATGTTAAAGGAAAGTTGATTTCGGTTTCTGTTGCTTCCTCTTCTTGGGAGTCCTGTTTAGGGGTTTAGTAATAACCTCATCACTAATTAATCCATTTCTGTTTAGCCACATATCTCTCCATGATGTACATTAGGAAACTATGTGAAGCACCGAGAGAGAAAGAGGAAAAGGTAAAATGGTAGGGTCTTAACCCTTGATTTCTACAGACCACACCATGAGGGTGGTGGTGGGGACCACACTGATGGGTGTGCTTTGTGTCAGAGTTAACGCTGTCTCTCACTCGATCCAAAACATCCTTGCAATTAGCAACTCTAAGGATGTAATCCTGCTTTAAGAAAATACAGTAAAATTAAATAACATTCTGGGCTCTCAGAAACCCCATGTACGGAAAGGGATCCAAAGCGGCTCAGATGGCAGGAAAAGCTGGCATCCTCTGTTGGGGTTTCAAAGGCAACTCTGATAATAGGGTAAGGGATAATTGTTTTAAACTAAAAAAGGGTAGATTCAGACTATATATAAGGAAGAAATTTTTACACTGAGTGTGGTGAGACACTGGCACAGGTTGCCCAGAGAGGTGGTAGATGCCCCGTCCCTGCAAACATTCAAGGTCAGGTTGGACGGGGCTCTGAGCAACCTGATCTGGTTGAAGACGTCCCTGCTCATTACAGGGGGTTGGACCAAATGGCCTTTACAGGTCCCTTCCAACCCAAACCATTCTCTGATTCTGTAACGATCCAAGCCTGAACTAAAGCCCTGGATCTGTGCCCCGACAGACCGTGGGCATATTTGTACCCAGAAGGCAAATTCTGTGGGTTGTGTTGCTCCTTACCTTAAAGGTTTAGGGGTCCAAATCTTCCTTGGTTGATTGATCTCCATCAAATTAGAATAAAAATGTTAACAAAACCAATCCTTATAGTGACCATTAATGGTGCTAATGCTGTAACTTGTATGTTGCACTGATTCAGCTGTTTCTTTTCCCTCTCTGGTGCAGAAGATAGAACCACGAAGCCCAACATGTTCACCTGGCATCAGGCAGCCCGTCTGCTCCAGACCCTTGCAAGCACCTCATGAAATACATGTCCACGCTCCCAGCCGAGGGGAGGAGAATGTCTTCAGCCATCTCCCGTTGCATTCGCAGCAGCTCACGAGGACCCCGTATCCTATGATTCCCATTGGGGGCATCCAGATGGTCCAGGCAAGGCCAAGCACCCATCCCAGCTTGGTGCCCAGCTCAGTCGTGTCCCTGCAAGCAGGATACTTTGCCTCTGGCGGCAGCAGCTTCGCCGAGTTCAGCCGGGCTCCCGAGAGGGACGAGGAACCGCAGGTCCCGCGGGAGCCGTCATCAGCATCCGTCTCCCCGGTTGCAAAGGTTTCTAAATACACACTGTCCCCAGAGCTTACGAGCAGCGGTTACTTAGAAGAGAAAATGAGGACTAGTGAGCTTCAGCAAAAGACAGACCAGGAGGAATACAGGGTAAAAATGTTCGCTGAGTCCAGCCACGCGGAGCAGGCAGGCTGCTCGGCATCCCCAGCCAGCCCCAGCACAACTGACGAGCACTCTCCAAAGCCTTCGACAAGTGGGGAAGAACCCTTGATAAAACCGGGCAAGAAGCAATCTGGCAGCTCGAGCACTTCTTTTAAATCATCCTGCACTTTCATCTCAGATCTCCCCTCCCAGCCGTTGGACCGAAGCAGCAGCACCGGCTGCCTCTCAGAGCCCTCATCCAGCCATTCGCACGTCCAGCCGTTCTCCGTCCGGAGGAGAAACCTCTCCGGAGAGCCCAGTCGCCAAGGGGGAACCTCCAGGAAGAGCAGTCCACACCTAGAGCACGCAGATTTAGGTCAAACTCAAAACAAGGTGGATGAAAACACGGGAAGTACTTAAGCCTCCACCATCTGTTCCACCTTTAGGCTTCCTATGTAAAATCAACAGACATTTTCAACACTATTTCCTTTAGTATAATCATCACTATAAGAAGCACTCTAGTGAATGACCAAACCCATGGAAGATTCCTGGTTTTCTTTGTCCCAGTCTGGTATTATCTCCACATGTATGCAGTTACTTGTGCCTTTTTCTATACCTTTTGTTGCTTGAAATGTACAAAAATGTTTGAGGCTGTGAATATTTTTTTAGAGTTTTTTGGAAAGGGGTTTGTTAGACCTTGTCTTTTTTGCCATTTAGGTGTGCGTTATTATGGGCCTGAGAGATGCAGAAAGGAAAGGGTTAAGCATTTTAAGAGGAAGAAGATGCACTGAAAACAAAAACAAAACAGAAAAACTTTTTTATATTGATTAAATGATTAAAAAAAAAAAACAAACCAAACCCTTGCTCCTGTGTACAGAAGTTTATGATTCGTATTTATTACATGCTTTATTTAATTCTCGCAAAGTGCTTGTTTTTTTTTTTCTCGCATCCCTCTGATTGCCTATGGTTGTGCTTTAAACAGTTGAGACTGCTTTACATTTGAAAAACGTGTTTACCCTGAACTTGTAAATGAAACTAGCACTTCCTTGAGTAGGGGGAGGTTGGTTCGCAGGGAGAGAAATTGTCACTCAAAAGAGAAAATGAATCTTGAGCATCCCTCCCTCCTGCAGAACCCATCAAAGCACTTTTCTAAAAAGGGACAAAAAAAAGGTTCTTCTTCAAAGACTTAACTGCAAGAACATAGGAATGTATCGAATGTAGACCCAGCGCCAGGAATGGTGTCTCTCGCTGGACGAGCCGGCCTCCTGCTTGCTTTAATCTTTCCATCCCGCGCCCGCTCCCCCACGCGGGGCCACTCCGCGATGCCCCCCGCATCGCCCCGGCAAAGTCCTGCCTGTGCCTGAGAGCCCCTCTTTTCTGGGGTTTGGAAGCCCTCTGTAAACACCTTCCCTTGGTTTAACAGTGGAAGTAAACTCAGCCTTGTAACCATTTTTCCTCCGTAATTTTTTAGTTGCTGACAAGCTCCCTCCATCCCATCCCCGCTCGGTCCTGGCTGGTTTGGCTTCGTGGAGCTCTAGGGATGCAGGAGTAGTTTGTGCTCTGCTCGTTTGCACGCCTGCGGTTCTGTAACTCACGAGTGACTCTGTGTCTTATTTTAATTTTATTTATTTATTTAAGCGGAATGTCGCAAACGTAGTCCTTGGTGTGCAGACGGGCCCTTTTTTAGTGTTTTGGAAGAAAAAAGTTATGATGCTGAGTGGTTAATGTTTGCAATCAGCTTGTTATGCATGCACAGTAACTTTTTCCAGAGCAAATTTTTAACTATGACCATCCATAGCAGAGCAATGGCCTCTACTGCCAATAGATACGATACCAAATACAGAGAGACCCGATGGAGCCATTCCTCTCTGTCACGTTAACACACTTTTTAAAATACAGATGTTCGATACATGTTTGCCCTAGCAGACAGCAGGCTCTTTACTACTTCAGAGGGTTTTCTGGTCTATGGAATCTGTACAAACCTCTTTTTTTTTTATTTTAACAAAAAAGAAAAAAAATATTTAACCAGTGGACCAGTTCTTTCTTCTTTCAGAGCTGTTCCAGTTTATCGGGTACGTAATACACTTTTTAAAAA